CCCGGTGAGGTGGAGTTGGTGGGCAGGAGGGTGAGGGGGAGCTGCCGAAAACGCACCGAGGGGCTGCGGTTCAGGCGCAGCCCGAGCATCAAAGGGCGGCCTCAGGTTTCGCCGCCCCGGCTACGCGCCGGGGAAGGCTGTAGTTGGGCTGAGGGTCTCTAACGTGAGGCTGTTTGTTGGCTTCTGCGGCGCCCCGGTGCAACCAGCGGGAAATCCCGCCGCTCCTTCACTTAGGCAGCCCAAAAACCCCCATAGCCTTTCTTGACCTGTTAAATAATACAGCTGATCTGTTCATTCTTGCGGGTTTTATGTATAGAGATACTAAAGTCCTCACCAGAAAACGCAGGGGAGGCAATTAGGGAGCAGGATTTTTTTTTTTTCTTGTTTCTGCATAAACCCCATCTTTAGCGGAGGAGTTAATTGACTTGAACTCATCGTGCAGCATCTCTAATGGAACCCCTGTGCAGAGGCACATCGCTGCACAGTTTGCAGTTGCTGTATTTTCATGGGTTTCTTCTTCAGCTAAAAAGAAAGCTGGCATTTTGTGACAAGGGATGGTTTCCCTCATCGTGAGCACACCGGGCTGTGATGAGCATACGTCGTGTCCACAGGGTCCGTGCAGCGTGCGGGCTCCTGCGTCTCTGCTGCCCCTCCGCTCCCAGAGCGTGGTTGGATCACATCGACAAAACAGCAACGCCCCAAATGTTGCATCCTCAGGGTGCACGTTGATAAACTACATATGAAAAGCACCATTCCATTCCGTGTCATTTTTAACCACAGAAAAGGGGTTTTAAGCTGCTAGAACATGCAGCTTGCTTGTTATCTACAGAACAGTGAAAAGACAGACAGCCCCGTTCGTGCTGTTCATTTGCATGCCCCTCTTTCACCTGGAAGAAATACCTGTTCTTTAGGACATGGTGGCTTTGAAACAGGATACTGCCTGAAATCTTTATTGTTAATGTTTGACTTCAAAAGAGACACTACCGGGCTGGAAAGGAAGGCATGCTAGTGAGTTGATTCTTAAAAATGATGAGATTTGTAAGAAGCTACTGGTGTTTGACAAGTAACAATGTTAAGGATAAATGTAATCAGCTCTACTCACCCACCACAGTTTTTCTATCCTGCGGCCCTACAAAAAAAAAGTCATTTGGTGGAATTACGGCAGCAAATGTCTTCCCGGTGCTCTGCTCGACTGTTATTACTGCACTCGGCGGCATGCTGTATTTGAACCATTTTAGTCTTACTAGTTGAAATATCTTTAACTTTTACTAATTATGTAGCAGCTAAATTGGAGTTTCTGATTTTTTAAAATACATCCTTGATCTGTACCAGCTTACTCGTCGAAACACACCCCAAAGCGAAGTGAGATGCGGGGTTCTTGTCCCTACCAACCGCAGAGCGAACAGCTATTGAGGTGCGTCTGCAGCAGTATCGTGGGGTTGGCTTCTCCCACATCTTTTCAGACTCATTATGGTGCCGCCTGCTCGTACAGGCTCTGTGATCAAAGAATGCTTGCTTGCATTTCTTGGTTCTTTCAGAGGCATGGTTAATTCTCTGGATCTATTCATAGCCTAAACATTCAGCATCAATAACTACGCTGGTTGCTTCGGGGCAGAGCTTGCCGCATTTGTTACTGACAATAAGCAATGAGAATTAATTGTCTCTCATTAATTCAGCGGTGAACAACATACTTCATACGGCTTTAAGAGCAGGAGACGGCCTCATGGTGTGGTGGCGTGCTGCCGTCGAGAGGAGTGGGTTGTTCTCGCTCTCCTCGTTACTTGTGCGCCACCGTCCCCTCGGTTTGGCGGCTCGGTCGTGGCCAACAGCAGCTCCGGTCCTGGCGTCGGTACCCGCCGGCCCGCTGCCGGCGTGGAGCTAAGCGGGCTCTGCGCAGGCACAGCACACCTCCCACGTAATTTCTGCTTCACAAAACGGAGCTGGCGTCTAGAGAGCTTGCTGCTTGTCCAGACACAGCTCCGCTTTCTCACACCCCATTAATGCCTTCGCTCTGAATCACGTTGATAGGCTTGTGCTCACAGGCAGAACTCACTGCAGGTCTTGTGCTTCAAATATTTCAGAAATGAATATCCATGAGTAACTTTGCATAAATGAGCAGGGCCGTTCAGTTCATGACGGCGGCCTTTCTTCCCTCGGCAAGGCTAGGAAACGTTTTAAAATAAATACGGACACCAGTTACCAGAAAACTCTGCTAGAAACTGTGACAACTGTTTATATAAGACAGTGTTGGCAGTTAATTGCATTTGTCCCCAGGATAACACAGGCTGTTTTGCTTGAATTCTGAAGACTAAGTGCCTCTAACTTGGAAGTAAACAAGCATGAAATCAGCATGGCCACAGCCTATAATCCTCAGCCTTTACCTTTCCATTGCCCAACAGCTAAGACAACCTCGCAGATTTAAGAATATTCCACCACCTGTCTGCCTTAAGGAATCTGATTTAGAGGCTTAATCTCCTGGGTTTTATGATTCATCACGTTTGATAGACAAGGAGAAATATGAAATATGGCCCGTGTGCACTGCTGTAACTCCACTGACATCTATCATCAACCAGCATTTGTCTTCTACTTCTTAAGCATTTATATCGCCCGTTACTGAATTCCTCACAGTCTTTAAATGCATTTCTCTTCTCAACAACTTAATGAGGTCAGGAGGAGCTGTCACAGTTAGGAAAGCGAACAAAAAAGCTGTTCTGCCCTGGGCCTGCAGGAAGGCTGTGACAGAGAAACTTGAGCACATCTCTCATCAACGCCCTGCCGGTACCCTGACCCGCGGCATCACGCTTCCTTCCCTTTGCACCCTGTTTGCTAATAAACATTCATACGGAAAGTTCCCACCTGAAGGCCTCTCAGCTGTCACAATGTGGTACTAAATGAGCTGCTGTTTAAAAGAATTGTACAGAGAAGCAGGGGGGGCCCTGAGCACTTTCAAAGCAGAGCTGAAGGCCGTATTTTACAGCGTTCCTACAGACGAGCTGGCGCAACACGTTGGTACGCAGGCTGGGGGCGAGTTAGGTTTGGATCTTTGTATTTTCTTAGAAAAGGCTATGCTGCTCTTATTATCTGCCCCACAAATTCCAACAACGGCTTTATGAATTCATCTGCAGTTGAGTTTTATCCTTCAGAGCACCGCACTTTATCTAGGGTCTTCATTTGTATTCATCAGCGAGGATGAAAATTTAGCTTTAATTTAAAGGCTAATTTAGATTTCAGCATATGATTAACATTCCACAGGCAATTACTGCCATCAAAGTCAAGCACATGCATAAATCTTTGCAGGACTGGGGCCAAAACATTTTTAAGTATCCACTTATTCAATATATTTTATATAAAGAATTATTCTTATCTCTTATATTTACGCAGGGGCCTTAACTAGGTAAATCTTGACACAGCTCAGTCTCTATAGGATTACTCATTTTCTTACTTTTCATCTGGCTTCTACGCTGTACCTCGTTACCGAATTCTTCCAGCAGTGGGGTACGAACACAGCTCACTGGCTTTATGTGCACTGTTACCCCTCTGCAGGGGTGCTGATAGGAGCAGCAGGAGCATTCGGCAAACAATAGCAAAAACAAAGCTTTGAGGAGAACGTGTAACAGCTCCAACAGGTAACAGCAACTGTATAATTGGGTAAAACAAACCATCAAAAAATAATCAACACTAAATCCCAAAACACTATATACTAAATTATAAATTATTGCAGAACATCCAGGAAAAATACTATTTTTCCTATTAAAACACCATCATTCAACTACAGCAAACAAAGTCCCAAACTAGTCCACTTAAGACAGACTGGAATCACCAAAACTTTAATACTATATTTTTGGCATGCAATATATGCATAATTAAACAGTTAAGAAACATATACAAGTGCAGGATACACAATGTAAGTGCAGTCTCACTGTGGATTGTATCGATCAGGATATTCACAATACCAGTCATAACATTTGCTAGCAAGAAAAACAGTAATTGATTTTTATTAATGGCGCTAATCAGGCAAACGTGCGACAGCTCGCCTTCCCTTCCCACAGGCACGGCCTCCCTTCCAGGCTTTTTACTGGTATCGGGGGGCTTTGCAACGTCCCAGCAACAGGGCACGCTGGACCCCTTCACGAGCAGCTTTGTGAACACCAAGGCGAGATCTGTGGCTACAAAGCAGGTGAAGAAGGTCAGGCAGTGAGCCACCACCCAGATGCAGTAGGACAGGTTGGCCATCCGGCGGGACACGGGGTCCGCCAGCGCTCGCGACGCGTGAAGGGAAACGAAGAGCACGAGGACGAGCAGCAGCGAGAACCGCGCTGCCGCGATCCAGCCTGCGACCGAGCTTCTGCACTTCAGCAGCCACAGTCCCACCTGGACGCTCGCCAGGTATATGGCCAGGTAGCCAAACAGAGAGAGCAGCCCTTCCCTGTTGGCGTTCAGAAAGCCAGCCCGAGTATCTCTGCTGTCGCTCCCATGCAAGATAAACATCTTCAGAGACGTAGCGTTAAGAATAAGCTGATAGAGTACAGCGAGATTTATAGCGACAATCCAAGATTTATTTTTTGGAAATATGGCTAAAAGCAGAGATGCTGCAAGCCTCACAAACGCTAAGGTAAAGAAAAAATTCCAGTGCACCCCGTACTCTGAAGTATGTTCATGATACTCTATGGATTTAACACTAAGCAGTCGTCCAACGCCCAGGAGAACCAACGGCCAAACGGAAAAGAGCTGCCTGGCCAGATTGGAAAATCTTGGTTTTGTCACCTCAGACTTTTGTCGAACTTCAGGACAAACGAGAGCGTTACCAAAAATAAAAGCTCCGACCCCGAAATCCATAACCCCTGTTCCGTAGGTCTCGGCTTTGGCGTATCGCCTTGGGTACTGCGGGAAATCCACTGCTAAAATGCTGATGGATGTCAGCACGTTGACATAGACGCGGAACACGGTTATTGCTGGAATGTACTGTGGCTCCAAGTACGTCTCCTGGAAGTCTTTTACAATTTGCCTAAAAGGCACTCTGCTCTCGTGTTTTCTTTGGCTGTATATTTTATAGAAGATTCCGGCACAGAAGGCTGCAATGATAGCTGGCATGAAGAAGATGATTGGAGACAAGACCGTACAGCAGAACAGGAGAGGAGAGACTAGCACAAGGAAGTCTAGCAGCAGGCTGTACTTCCTTGAGCTTAAAGGCTTCCCATAGTGCAGGTAGTATAAAATCAAGAGGAGTCCTCTACAGAGCAGGCAGAGCGGAGCTAGAGACAGGCCTACTGAAATTTCCAGCAAACTCGTTCCATTTAAGTTGCTGATAAAGGCTTCTTTCGGATGTTTTTGTGACATTCTTCTTTCTTCCTCTGAAAACACAAACGTGAAACTGAGTTAGTTTTGTAAAACAGGGCTCTTAGAACATCACCAAAAAATGAATCTTACGTACCGGTTCATTAAAACATACATTGATTTCAGAAGTCCCGTGTTTTTCAGTTACTCTTCAATTCAAAGAATACAGAAGAACAGCCCCGGTGCTGCAAACGCTCGGCAAGGCCTGACCCACCGTTACAAATCCTGCTGTTTTCCAGCGAGATTCTTAACGTAATTTTGCTGAAGATCTCTAAATATCAAACACCCTGCTGCACATCCACGTTGTGAATAACCTTACTGCTCGCCCTGCTCTGTAGAATGCACTTAGGCGTATTCCCGATCGCATAAACGAAGCGGGTGTGTAAAAAACGTGACCCTAATGAAGCTGCAGTTGCCTGGTCAGCAGAGAGCGCGCAGTCAAACCAGCGGCCAAAATCCCCGCTTGCAAAAACCAATGCTTTTCTAAAAGGTCCCGCAGTGACCCTGCCCAGCCGGGCTCCCCTGCCTCGGGCGACCTGTTTCAAGAGAACAGACGGTAAATGTAAAAACCGCTCAGGACAAAGCCCGTCTTGCTGTGCCGGGGGTTTGACCCGGGGTGCGGGGAGCGGC